CTGGTCGTCTGATTGTATCTGGATTCGAACATGCGGCTGTGCGTTCGTGGGTAGACCAACTGAGCTACGCCCATCGGTTAAATAGTAAATACATAAACTGTGGCCATGCAGCAATCCATTTTGAGTGCCTATCATACCATCTAAGAGCGAATGTTCACGAGTACAAAATCAACCGAATCGGGTCTGAAGTCAGGTCAGATTCACCCAATAAGGTTGGAGTATGAGTATACTCTCAGTTGATCTTTAGGAAAAGATACGTGCAACAAGAACTAAATAGTAAATATTGAAAATCGAAATGTCGAAAAAATTGAAGACTCGGTCGCTCACCGCATTGGCACCCTCCTTGGTTCCCTCTCTTTTGCCTAACTGATGCACATCAGCACCCTTCTCCCCCCTCCACTGGTCATTGGCCCTGTCTAGACCTATGGCCCAATGCTTTCTCAGTCCAGGTCGCTAGGGCTGCAGGGATTGGAGCAGCTGCATCGTTGATGTACATATGTGGGTAGCAGCTTTTGTCCTGTCTATGTCTGGACCCCGCTCCTTTGCAAGTCCTCATGGATATTGTTTTGCAGTCCACGCTGGTGTGGATGTCCCGCAGATAACCTGATAAGGCCGCATTTATCACTGTTAGGATGTTAGAATGTTGGGGATGGCGGAAAGAGGGTTACCCCGTTCTGTTTGGTTTTTTGAAAGGGGTTACCCCCTACCCCCTTATGTTATTGTGTTCGCCAACTTTTAACCCTTCCAGCATTTGAAGTTGCGAACTGCGGATCAGTTAACCCACCCTTGGATGTATGTGCCGGTTGGCGCAGTCAGCAAGAAGGCTGGAACGAGAAGAACGTACCTTATTTGCGTGGATAGTACGAAAGGGTAACTGTTCGCAGATCCGAAGTCAGGTCATGAACTGTGGCCATGCGGCAATCCAGATCTGAATAGTACCAAAAAAATCAACCGAATTGGGTCTGAATTCAGGTCAGATTCACCCAATAAGGACGAAGAGGTACATAGGAGGAGAGGTGACTTCATGAATTAAGTCCAATGAACAGTTACCCTTACGTACTAGTCAGCCGCAAGGCTGGAACAAGGAACAAGAAGAATGTACCTTCTTTGCGTGGATCTGGTGTTGAGATGGTTTCAGTTTGGAATGGGAAGAGTGGGGTTGAGATGAGAGCGAGCTTTGGGTGGACTGGGTGGAGCACTTCATGCCTTGTGCAGAGAATGTCCTCTGGCGAATGCAAGCATCGATAAATTTGCAAGAGATTATAATTATGAATTCCCCTCCGTTGGTGCTTGAGATCCCTGATACCAATGTCAGTAGTATGTCGAACGTCTTCGGACCACCTTAGAAACAAAACTGAGAATCTTGTCTCAGATGGACTGAGGATGTGAAGATGCTTGATGATGATGATGATGTCTCCACGCTCTCGGACTGCCGTTCAGCATAGTTCCACGACGACAATCTCCACAAGTTATCAGTTTGTAGTACTTTGTACCCATGCTCACAAGCGTACACACACTGTGGACTTCAACTTGCTCACTCACAGAGTGGAACTCACTGGGCCTCTCTGTTTCTTGTACTTGTGTGTGTGTTTGTGTGTGTTTGTGCTTGTGTGTGCACTTGTACTTGTGTGTGTGTGTGTGTGCGCTTGCGTGTGTGCTTGTGTGTGCACTTGCGTGTGTGCTTGTGTGTGCACTTGTGTGTGTGTGTGTGTGTGTGTGTGTGTGTGTGTGTGTGTGTGTGTGTGTGTGTGTGTGTATTTGTGTTCGAGTTGGTGAACCGGTTTTCATACAGAAAGTTGCACCATTCTCTGCGGAGATGACTGGGCGTACGATGATGGTTGGGACTGGCAGCAGTGTACGGGATAGTGTGGTGAGCGATGGTCGCGCAGGGTTCCCTAATGGTCCTTGGAATGACACAATGGGCAGAAATGGTACCTGCAGGAGGTCGTGTCCGGAACTCTCCACTTCAGATAATAGCGCACATAAAGATGTCCAGGCCTCATCCACGGGAAACGGTGAGGGCCATTTTTCGTCTCTCGGTTGATGTGATTGTAGTGTCATGACACTGTTGTTGTGCAATTGTTGTCTTGGGTATGGTTGGATCTTCTTCTTAGGTACCATCCAAACCACGAAAAAAAAAAAAAACAAAACAAAAAAAAAAACACGGTCGACTCCGAAGCTGACCTGCCGAGCCCAACTAGAGCCCGGTACTGTTCCAGTTTTTCTGGCAGTCCCAGGTGGGAAAATCCCAGTTCATTCTAGTCACTAGAAAAGAAGAAAGGAGACACTAGAAAACACGAAAGGAGACCCATGGAGGTACTGTCTTCCCGTGAACACAACACACCCTCATGATGCCTCTATAGTACCAGAAAATCTCGTGCGCTTTTGTCCTTTGGGACATCCGTTAAATGATACAAGGAATATTAGAATGGCCCCTGCACAAGGATGACACTCGTAAATCGAGAAATGGTCGAAGTTATTGGAAAAAAAAAGGAAAAAAAAAACCTTGTATGCATTCACGATGAGGGTGTGTTGTTAAAGGGGGCAGACGGTAGTGGTGTCTTTATATTCGGTGAGCACCAACTAATAAGATCATCATTCTTATTTTTTTACATCCGAAGGATTGATGTTGAATGTGTTCTCGGCAAAAAAGTGTAGGATTTTCTTACTCCAAGCAGGGCGTAAGATCACTGAAGATGGAGGGCTGGGGTTCAGGGGTACAGTGGAGGAATCATTGAAGAATAAGTCCAAAAAAAAAGAGATAATGAGTATTTGATTGATGATAACTGCATTGACAATAATCCGATTGATGATAACTCAATTGATAATAACTTCATTAACGACGAGTACTCAATCAGCAACGATACGCAATTAACGATGATTGTCTCGGTTAACGGCGATTAATGGATTAACGACGATTAACTCGACTAATGACGATAACTTGATTGATGATAAAAGTTGTTAGCAGGTGAGACTGATTGACGATAACTTGATTGCCGGTAACTCAATTTTGAATTTTTGACGCATTACTGGATTAACAACGGTTACACGATTGACGACAATTGCTCGATTAATGACGATTGCTCGATTAACGGCGGTGAACTCGATTAATGACGATGTTTCGATTGATGATAAAGGTTGTTAGCAGGTGAGACTGATTGACTCTTACTCGATTGGCGGTAGCTCAATTGACACAATTTGACGGTAAATCGAATGACGATAACCATGGTAACCAACCGGACGTCCGGACCGGGTTGCAGACAGTCCGGAACAACATGTCCGGGTCCGGTGTCCGGTCCGTGATGCCCGGATGGACACCCCCACAGGGCACATAAAAAAAAAAAAAGGGGCTGCCCAGGACATTTTTCAGGTCCTGGCCGTCCCTTCAGAAATATCAGGGTGATTTGTCAGTGTCGTTTCGCCCCACTGGACAGGTCCTAGAGGCCCAGACACAAGACACTGCAGGTTTTTGAGGTGGCGGATTTCACACAGGCCCGCACAATTTCAAAGTGGCCATTTCGAAGTGCCGCCCGCTGCTGCTGCCCGTTGGAGGGAGGGAGGGAGAGAGAGAGAGAGAGAGAG